AAAAAAAAAAAAAAAAAAAAAAAAAAAAAAAAAAAAAAAAAAATAATAATAATAATAATAATAATAATAATAATAATAATAATAAAAAGAACTATGATGATGATATACACGATAACGATAACAATGACAATAACAATAACGATAACGATGATAATGATGATGATGATGTGATGATGATGATGATGATAGACCTGCCAGATGGTGCGAAAGGGGGTATAGGGGGCTACATATATCTTGGCATTTTACAATTAGACCAGATGAAAGGCAAGTTAACAGCGGAATACATCGGAAGAGAAATTAAGACGGTTGTGTAGATCCAAATTTAATGGCGGAAATCTTATTAGTGCATCAATGCCTAAGCTGTAGGTTTATTAGCTACAGTGTAGGTATCGTGGATTGCATGTTGGAAGGGATGGTCAGTATGGAAAGAAAAACTAGGACGATATTGGCGGTAAATGGCTATTTACACACAAAAAGTGATGTTGCCAGACTGTATCTACCGAGAAAAGAAGGGGTGAGAGTTGATTGGTATAAAGGAGTGTTAGAAGGAGAGAAAATTGTTGCATGGCTACCTAAGAGATAACACGAGTGGATGCTGTATGACTTTGAAGGAGAAGGTGTTATTTGAAGAAGAGAATCTTCAGGACTACCAGAAAAGAAGGGAAGAGGAGAAAGTCAGGAACGGGAAGGTCCACATGGAGAATTTGCTACCAAAACTTCAGGTTTGGCTGGAGAGGAGTCCTGTGGATGTCTCAGAAATGGTTTGTTAAAGATGGGAAAAGAAGGAAAAGTAATGCAAAGCAATGCAAAGGCCTGGTATGGAAGATTAAGTTTGCCCGACATTTTTTGAAGTACTCAGTTGTCAGCCATCAACTTGTACTGCTCACATTTTGCGGAATGTGGTGTGCCTCTAACCTGTTGGATGCAGCTGAGAAATGAGAAGACCAAGAAAAACACCACGGTACTGGAGGGAATCGCCCAATAATAATGATAATGATAATAATAATAATAATAATAATAATAATAATAATAATAATAATAATAATAATAATAATAATAATAATAATAGTAATAATAATAATAACAACAATGAATTGATAAATATTAATCATTAATTTTTGGTTGAGTAAGTACTTGTTGACCTAACACCAGTTTCAATAAAACCCTTTACATTTCAGTTACTAACGAAAGTTGAAATCCTTAATGAATAAGCAAAAGAACTCAAATAAATTCTGAATGAAACAATATCTCTTTCTGGACAATACTTTTTTTTCTGAATATTTGGTTACCTTTCCCCATTTTGCTATCCTTCTCATATCACCCTAAAATGATGCGATCCTCTTATTTGAAATTATTTCGCTCTGTCATGCAGATCAATTTACCATTTTTAAATACATAGCTCTAATCCATCTGGATTAATTACACCCCATAAGTGGTTTACTTCCTTGAAAGCAAAGGTTGAGCTCGGGCCTCTATGTTTTTGCTTATTTAAGACAAGTAATCCTGCATAAGGGTTTTGTTGACGCACGTCTTCAGAGGCCCAAAGGAAGCACATTTGGACGCGCAACAGGTTTAATCCATCTGGATTAATTACACCCCATAAGCGTTTTACTTCCTTGAAAGAAACGGTTGAGCTCGGGCCTCACGTGTCTTACAACGTGTCTGAGATCGTTATCTACAAATTCGTTTTTGGGGGGCCCTGGAGAGTATTTTGTAAGCTTGATATTTTTGCTTATTTAAGACGAGTAATCCTGCATAAGGGTTTGTTGACGCACGTCTTCAGAGACCCAGAGAAAGCACATTTGGACGCGCAACAGGTCTAATCCATCAGGATCAATTACATCCCATAAGTGGTTTACTTCCTTGAAAGCAAAGGTTGAGTTCGGGCCTCACGTCTCTTAGAGCGTGCTTTAAGTTTGAGATCGTCGTCTATAAATTCCTTTTTGGGTGGGTTCCAGAGAGTATTTTGTCAGCTCGATTTATTTGCTCACGAGTAATCCTGCATAAGGTTTTCGTTGACGAACGTCTTCAGAGACCCAGAGGAGGCACGTTTGGACGCGTAACAGGTAAAATTATTGCCTACAAGGTTTTCAAGAAGTACCGGAGAGAAGCCTCCCAGTTCCCAGTTTGCTTGAAGAGATTTCACCCATAAATATCCCACACCACTAGTTGCTGCCCTTGTCCCTGCTAGGATGCGCATGAAAAATTGCCATCGTAGATAAAGAAATATCATTGGGGTGCTCGAGAAAACCATGAAACGTGCAGTCTGCACCAAATTTGTATTGGTCAGATTGCAGTCAATTTTCAACCCCCTTAACAAAATTTGCCAACAACCATTCTTGTTTGATGAAAATTACCAGAAATTCGTTATTTACCAGTACAATAATCGATGGTCATTACAATAACTTACCACTGGTAAAATAAAGCTGCAAATAAATCACCTGAGCGGCAAGGAAAGAAAAGAGTGGCTTTCTCATCATTGCCTTAATTCTTTACTGCTGTGTATTTGATGTCACCTCTTCTCTGTTGCAAATGCGTATATGGACACTAGGCATCTCTAATTAAACCTTCTCGGTTTTGGAATGAGGAAGATTTGCACCAGTTTTTTAGTACCTATCTCTCCAACAGGGTTAAAGGGTCGTCGGACTATGTGAGCGTTTTAGCGTATATTCCGCTAGCGTTGTCGGCATTCTAAAAAATGATTGGCTGGGGTTCGAGAACTACTTACTACAATAGTCTATGGGGATAAACGTCAAACAACTTTGTTTAACCTTATCCAGTGAGCTTAAACCTTTTATTCTTAATCAGTATCTGTTGGCTAACCACTTTCTGGAAATAAACAACTATTTATGCGACATTGAATTAAGATCGTAAACAGGTACACTAGGTATCACAGATTGTCTTGCTAAAAATAAGGACATTTTCTGTCCTGAAAATACTGGTCATGTAATTTCGAGGTCTTAGAGCATAGAATATACTAGTAATTAAATAGCCTCAATCAACACAACGATGCGTGAAAGCCCTGCAGTTGCCAAAAATTAGACAGTCACTTAAAAATTATCAGACTTGGAAAAAAAAAGGAAGATATTCGAGTACATGATTCCGCATTCTCTCGCGTAAACGTGATCAAAGGAAAGCTGATCTTTGTTATCTTAAAAATTTACTGACACGTACACCTCTTAATACAAACAGCCGTGCTATTAATTTCAAGTCAATTTTCCTTAACAAAGCACATACGTTGCTATTACAGTACTAGAAAGGAATTATTTTTCAAGCGAAAGAATAAAAGTCTCACCGCAAACGGAGCTTAGGCCAAACTGATAGGCATTTAGAGTTCAGAGGACTTGATGTCCACCTACTCGGAAGATCCCAACATCTACCCTTTTCTACAACAACAACAAAAACCAACCATTTTATTTTGCAAATTAAAAAACGTTTACAAAGAACATCATAAATTAAAATAGATAAGGCAAAAACTACTCAGAATAGCAAAAAGCTAAACGAGCTGAGTAGTTACAATATTTAAATTACATTTTATAGGGTTGTGACACACAAGAGATAAAGAGGAAGAATATCGCCATAACCGCATGACAACCGCTGACCACTTCAAGAAGTGATTGGAACTTTTTGTTTGTCTCCTAAGTGGCCTGATTCGACCGTAAAAATAGTGGATTTGCCTCGTCTCGTGAATAAAAATAAATGTAGGCGAGCGTTATTTTCTGGTCAAGCAATGCGTTTCCATAGTAACACCAATCT